ATGAACTGAAAAAGATCTTGAGGTTGATTTGTTGACTCATTAAAATAAAACTCAGAAAAGAGTAAAGAGGACTCATGGATTTGAGTGCTGTAATAAAAGCCACTTATTTTCTTGATTTTTTGATACTAAAATACAGTTCTTATGATGGAGCTTGCATATTCTTTAGGATGTTTTATTATTTTGGTAATGTGAAGGCTGCTCCTCGTGATGTCCTGACCTTAATGGCTCACCACATCACAAAATGCATCTGACTACAAAGACACCTCTCATTAGAGCTGAAGCCAGGCTTGCAGGTTTGCCATCTGTAGAGCTGATAAGGGTGGTCTCTACATGCTCCTTGGTGTGTGCACAGATGAAATTTTATCACATAACCTAGCCAATGTGATGTATACAGACGTGTCAGACTCCCTGGGCAGAACTTGTTACAACTCATCACTTGACTTCATCATTTCTCCTGGCAACTCCATATGATGCTCTTGCTTCTCACTGTTGGTCTTTCATCTGCCTTATCACTCCCAGCAAGTCAGGCAGATCCATGATCTTCCTAACAAGGTCACAGCATTTCAAAGGAGAAGCTGGTGGCCCTGCCACCAACTGCATGCTTCTCAACTGAGACCTACGTCAACAAACCCTACTAGTAGAATTTTTTTCCTGAAAAAAACAGCCTGATGTTGCAGGCCAGAAGTTGTTGTGTAGCTCATAAGCCAGGTACTTTCCTTCATCATGTAATCCATTTTATGGGCTGTTTCACAGCTGGGTTCAGGTAACTTCAGAAGCCTACTGACACCAATGAATTCATTCAGAGTCTGGTTTAGCCGCAGCAGCAACCATGCTGTTTTACACAAGCAAACTGCTACTTTTTTTCCTGTTATCTTAAAAAAAGAAGACCCAGTTGTTTTCTTCTTTGCAGTATAATAAAAATGCATACATTTTTTTGCAGATTTAATGTAAGATCTGGAGCAATAACTCTAATTCAAAACCTTCCCTGTAAAATGAAATAAAACTGAATATTCAAGCATCAGTAAAGGAAATACCTATTTGATACTATAGGTGGAGAAAATGGGGCAACTCACATGTGTATGTTTCTTAAATTTCTGTCTCATAAAACTGCTGGAGTTTTGCATTTACTATCATTGTTTGGTTTCTGCAGACCTCTATTTTTCTCTCCTTTTTTTAAAAATGTGGAAACTGGAAAGGAAAAAAAAGGGATGAAACATACAAAGTTTTCATGGAAGTTTTTGAGCCACTAAGAGTGTTCTTGGTCTGGTCAACAGTCAGTAGGAAGTATTGCTGGCTTACTCCAACATACTAATTGATGAGAACATTGATTTATGAGAGCACACTGAAAAAATAAAAAAAGTCCTATATATATTTTTCAATTAGGGGACATGAGCTGCTCTTTGTTTAATAATGAAAAAAAATAGCGACATCACACTGTAAATTCCTTTAATGAATATTTTAATCAAATGCATAAAAATTATATTTATTCATTTTAATCTCCATGCATTTTCAAAAGTGCAAACTAAGCTTGTTCAAAAAAAAACGTGAAGGAGATTTTTAAAGGTGCCTTTGCTTTTACTTTTTCTGAGGACTTGTTATTTTAATTGTTTAGAGTAGTGCACCATAAACAATAGTGACAGTTTTTTAATTTGCAAACAGCCATAATTTTTACCAATGATGTATAGGTTATATTGATATGATTCACACATGCTCCATTTTCTGTTCGGGGGACTGAAAAAAACACCCACTGCACCAAAACCACAACCTCTTCTCAGTCATTTAAAAAAGGAACATAGCATAGTGGAACTGCCTTTTTTCTTCACAGACAGCCACATGCCAATTTAGAGCTCACTTAGTAAAATATAAAACTGAAAAGTAGAAAAGTGGAAAGCAGCATGTATATATACCTGTCTTTAGGTACAAGGTAGGAGATAAATCTGTCTAAGAATACATCTCTAAAAACGCTAATAAATTCAGAGATGCTAGAGGATAAAAAGCCACACAAGTAATACGTAATTACCAAAGTATATAACGGATATTGTATTGCCCATTTGACTTTTACTGGTGGGTTTTCCCCATCTATTTTCTTCTGAATGTTATTCCCCTATAGTCACAAGCAGAAATGATCACCCAAAGGTTTCTAATCATACTCCTGAAAACTCTGGAGCAATTTTCAAGTAGTTCAGCAAAGAAAATAACAACTTCTGCCGAGCACCAAGATGCATTAAATAAGGTAAAAACAATCAAAATATTTTTTCCGGTGTTCAGTGGGTTCTTCTATCAGAATCTCAGTTGCTATCATCCTTTACTAGAAAGTACCAAAATCTTTCAGACCTACAAAATATGATCTCTTGTATTACACTGAATGTCGTTGTTGTATCTTTTCATGAACTTTTTAAAGGATGCTAAAGTTGCTTCAGCTAAAAATGAGTAAAAAATTAATATGAATGAAACTGTATGTAAGAAAAAGTTCTTACTTGTAAACTTATATTAAAAATGACTGAACATTCTGAACAATCCTGAACACTTCACCTCCTCCTCCTCAACAGCAATAATAAAATAGAGCAAAGTCTTTTAGAAAATATGTATGTCGGTCAGGTCCAGTTTCTTATACAAAGCTGGATGCAATGAACTCTGATGCACGTAACTCCTTCAGAGTCTTCCGTGTAAAAAGGTTTTGCTTTGCAAAGATCCTTACCGCTCCTGAGTTGAGGAAGTCAGAATCCCAAAATACCATGTGCTGCTGCTTCCCTGTGTGCTTTGTAATCCTTTCACAGTCCCAGCCTGAGGAAAAATTAGTTAAGAAATTATAAGCACTTTGGAAAAAAGTATCTTAAGCTGTGATATTTTCTTCAGTTTCGGTATCTACTAACTCATGTTTTGCTGGTTTTGCATGATTTAAAAAAAAATAAATCTATATTGGGATATATACTCTTATTCATAATGACAAAGTTGAATAGTTGTATCTTACATGTAGAAAAGAATATGGGGAATTTACAGTTATAAGTAAACCCTGCTGAACCCATTCCAGGTTGAACCTGTGTCCCAGAGATGTGTTCTTACAAAACTCTGAGTTATAACATCAAATTCCATTACACTAAAAGTAGTGCTGACTGATCTTCCTCACTGATGTTTACATGAGTTTGGGATTGACCTTGGCACCTTGGGGTTGAGAATTGAAATTTCAATTTTGTTTTCACCAAGGATGCTGAATATTACCTCTCCCATAGCTATAGGAGCTATGCAGCCTTCCCATTGGAAATTAGGGCAACAGGACGACTAGATTTCTAAGTGAAATAGCCTGACCTATTAATAGATCACATCCAGGACAACAGGCAGGGCTTTAGGTTTTTACTGTAGACTTCAGTGATACTTAGTTGTCTGCCTACTTTGCAGGTGCAAGTTTGAAAATACAAGTTTTAGGTGTTTTGGGAGTAATACTCAGATCTTGAGTTTACAGGTCTAAATTCTGCTTAAGTCCAATTAAAAAAAATATCAGAGTAACACGACTATTTTGGTATCTTCAACAAAAGTAAACAGCTGCTCCAATTTTTCTGTATAGATACATCTATCTTGCTTGATTTTAATATACAGTGACTTTTTTCTGAATATGTCGACATTGTTATTTCAAACTTCAGAAATGCAACAGGATTCCATGGATATTCTGCTTAGCATCTGTAATGTCAGTATTTTTGTAATTTGTGCACATATATTTATTATTTTCTAATACTGAAAAGCAAGATGCTACCTCTGCCCTGAAGACTTTGCGAAGGGCAACTGTTCTCTGTTGGAAAATGCAGCATTGTCAATGGATATGAGTAATCATGTATGGCCCAAGCTCCAAATTAAGGTAATTATGACTAACAATTTTTTTCTCACACGTCAGTGGAAAATACGGGAAGGAGCTGTGTGCAAGAAAAAAAGTAAACACTGCATTGCTGTTTTAACTAATGCACTTAATAGTTTATGTAAATCTGTGGCTCAGAAATGTTAGATACTTTGAGCAAATGAGACTAATTTTTTAAATTACACATACCTATTAGAAGATGGAACTGAATATACAGAATCACAAAGGAGACTGTTTTGAGGGATCTGTTTGTTTAAATAGGGATCATCTCAGAAAAAAACAGTTCATCACTTCCACAGTCTTCAGAAAGCAAACTTCAGGTCTTTATGCTCAGGTTCTTTTGTCTTTTGAACTTGGGAGTACTTGTAAAAACAAAAGAAAACAAAAGGTGTTTTGTTTTGTTTAATCCACAGTATTATAGACATTTGTATAAATTCTTACTGCACTTTCATTATACCTGTTATTTTTTCTTTTAACGTTAATTTATTTAGTGTTGTCGCATGCTCTTTGACAGCCACTGCTGTCTGTAGACATCTTTTTATTTGCAAGCTAAAACTATTCTTTGAATTTTTTTCAACCTGTAAGGTAATGACTAATACATAATAATGACTTTTACAACACTTGATCTTGTGAAATGTGTCGTGGAACTTTCAGTTATTTTCAGAGACTATATATTTGGTACATCTACTATAGATGAACACTAAACCCAGAAATACCCCTTGCTAAGAAAATAAATTTCACATATGCTTGCAATATATTGTTTACAAGAGGCGAAGAGAAACCTCCTTTTTAGAAGTAGTTTACATAAAGGCTGAACAGATGAATATTCCCTTGAATCACCTTTATCCACTCAACTTGGGAATGTATCTAATTTGAAAATTATGAACTTTTCCCAGTTGTTCTTGTGGGGGGAGCATTGAGCAGAGAGTGGACTTTTCTTTTGAATGTATTTATTCAGGCCATGACATTTGGAATACTTCTTTCCAGTTAATGCAAACACAAAGTTTTATGAGTAAAATCACTACTTTGGGTATTTAGTTTTTGTCTTTTTGTGATGAAGAGAAAAAAATTTTGTCATGTGATTGACATAAGCCCCATCTGTAAGCAGATAAATGCCAAATGAAAAAGATTGCACCCATTTTTTCAAGTTCACATGGCAAGCATTTCTGTAATGCAGCCTGAAATATGACATCATAGTATGATTTTCATGTAATAATTCTTGAGAAAGGAAATATAATTTGCTATTTAGGAACTTTCTGTTACAAGTAAGCAGCTCCAAATAGAGCAAGCATTGAATTTGAAAATTTCATTTCTCAGGTACAGTTAATGTATTTTGCAGTGTCATTTTGTAATGCACTGTGTTGCTCATCATGAAGAATCAGGTTTAGGCTGCAACTCCACCTACATTTAAAGCTCTATGGAATTATTCTGCTCTCTAGTTCTCTGAAGGGTTGTGAAATAGTCAGCCAACATGTCTCTCCTGTAAAGTTGCTGAGAGAAGGGCAAAAGTTAACAACAAAAAAGAAGCTAATCTTAAAAAGTAGGCAACTGTAATGATTCTTAAACGCTACTCAATCTAAATTACTTTAATTATAGGAACATGGGAAACAGTTGGGTGTATTTCAAGTGGACTAGCTGTTTGAACAGGAGTAATTCTGAAATGGCCAATATGAAACAAGAATGCATTTTGAGACAAACCCATCAGTCAAACAGCTGTGCAAACAAAGAGTTTTTTCAAAGGACGTGTCACTGTCAAGAGCAATCCAACACAGATTTAATACACAAGACGAGCAGTGATTAAAAAAAAATTAAGGTAATGGGGTTTTTTTCTTTTTTTCGTTCACATGATACTTCCTTATGTCTCAAGGATAAAAGAAACAGAAAAAACTTGTTTACAAAAATTTCCATAAGTTTTTTTGTGACTTAAGTACTTCATGATGTTGCAAATTACTTATTGTTGCCATTGTAATTTTTATAGGTTTTACAACCAGACCTCCACCTTTAAAATGTTCTTCTTATACTGATATTCTAAATACATGGGTTTTTTTTTTTCAAAAATCATGTTAGTTCAAATTCCTTTACTGTCAGCATGTTTGTAATTATTTTCCCCCAATCTTAGCATCACTTGTATTACTTAGAGAAGGTATATTCTTATGAGGGAAATTCCAGAAAGAAAACATAATTTTCCATTTTCAGGCCCAATTTCAAGGTAAACACGCTCCAAAATGCTCAGACTTCTGTAGGGTGGTGTTTTTTTTTCCTACTGTGGTACAGCTTTTCTACTTTTTACTGTTCTCAGTATTCCATTGTTGTTTGGCATGCTTAACTCTCGATTAACATGTAATTTTGAAAGGTTTATAATTTACTCTCTCTGTAGTTGTCTATCCTGTTTGGAGTTATGGTGCATCAGAATTCAGTGATGTATTTTTGGCTCCTGGAAGAGAACTTCCAGCCTCTCACAGGCCCCATACAATGATTGTCACATGCACACACATCCTTGCAGCACTAGGCTTCCTCACAAGTATTTTTATATGGAGCGTCTGACAAATGAAAAGCAGCTGTATTTCCCCCCTCTCCTTATATTTAAGAAAACTTAGTGTTGTTTCCGAGTTTGGAGATTTTCACTGAACTCCTTTTATTTCACATGAATTCAAATATTGATTTTGGGCTTTACTGGAAGCTCGCTGTTTAAAATGAAAAAAAAAAAAAAAAGGAAACCAAAGCACAAAGCAAAAGCCTTCCCTGCCCAGGGAGGATGATTCCAGAGGAGGGCCCTTCCTTCGCAGGTGCCGCCACTCCCGCAGCAAGAAGAGACTGTTTCCATACGGTTGGTGAAGCATGAAGAGGAAGTTGGTGTTCCTCCTAACGAACTTGGTTCAGCAGACACAGCTACTGATCAGAAGGAGCAATCTACATCGGAAATAAGAGACTATGTGTACAGAAGTCCTGGGATAAAACCTGAGAAGACAGATATGATTAAATCCTTTGTGACAGATCAGGATGCATCTAGAGACTGTGAACTATATCTACCTGTGTCTAGTAATTTTTCAGCAATGGAGTCATCTGAGGACAGGTGAGGATTTTTTTTTATATGTATGTTAACAGCTTTTCTATAGAAAGGGAGGGGTACTTTCAGTTCATCAAAGTGAGTATCTTCGCAAAATTTTGTATGTGTTAATGTCATAGAGAAATAGGTCTAAATGTCAGATCTTAAGATTGTGAAGGCCACCTTCACCCTTTAGATAAATTGCTTACTTTTATAGTTTATTAGTGGTTTTCTTTCCCCATCTAAGGGAATGAGTGATGTGACATTAAGCTCTTAAGGGTAGGGTGCAGAGCATGGGAAACTAAGACTCGAAGGCAGATACTCTGGTAGCTTGGATTTAACCTTGTGAACGCTTTGTTAGGTGCGGTGCTGACACTGATAGAAGACTTTTCTTAATCCTAACACTTCAGCTTTTTGTTTGTTTTTTTGTAAACGTCCTGCTGTAGGCCAAAGTAAAAATTTAGCTGTGTGATTCAGATTTGACAGTAGAAGTCTTGACAAGAATATCTGGTATCTTGAGGAAGAAATAAATATGAAGGTTTTAAAAAATAAAATAAAATTCCAAACTTCTGAAAACAAAATTAATGCACATAAGAGTGGCTTTGTGTCACCGAAGAATACATTAATAAGTAAGAGAAGAAAGTGATTTCTAATTAATCCTCTTTCTGTAGGTAGCCAGTGGACTGTTTTAGACAACAAACAAAATCTACCATAAGCGCTGACTTAGTGAAAAAGTCGCTAAAAATTGGCAACCTGTTTTCAAAGATGTTTTAAAAATCTTATCTCATGCTTAAATTACAGAGTAATTTAATATAATCTAATACATTAATGCAAGGGGTTTTTATATTAAAGCACATGTAACATTAATACACAGATTCATATAAATATGTATTAAGTCTATTTTGTATGTTGGCAAAAGTATGATACATAAGGATCTCTGTCCGAATTTTTTAATTAGCTGCTACTTGGCATACTAATTCTATATGATGTAATATGCCTTCACATGAACTATTACTAGTAATGAGTGTAATCTGACGAAATAAATATTCATCACTTCATGATAATAAACAGAAGACTTTTAAGCATTGTTTTTTCTTTTGTATGTTCAATACTGGGAGTTCTAGTCCTGCAAATCTATTAATATAAAACTATATATTTTTGTCTATAGTCCTTTCCCTTCTCTCCAGTGTAGTTTTGCTTGCTGTTGTCTTAACTTGTTGAAGTTTAGGGTTTTTTTTGGTGGCATGGGGTTTTTTTGTTGCTTGTTTTTAAAATGCAAATCCCAGGATTTCTTGAGTAAAATCTGACATCGAATTTTTTTACCTTGGTATCTTTGGTTCGGCAGAATCAGATTTACTAGTTCAACAATTTAAGTGTTTACACACAACACTGTGCATTTTTTTTCTTTTGTGCATTAATGTTTTCACTTAATTATTCTTTTCAATCTGTTACTTTTTCACTCTATTTTCAAATATTAATGTGAAAGTTAACAGGGAAAAGCTTTAGTTTCCACGGACTTATTTAGCAGTTGCTATGCTAGAACAATGTTAAGATGCATTTTCAACTCTGAAATGAGAATGCCCATGCAGATGGCTTATACCTCTTAGCTACCTTGATTTCAAAACAGCTCAGTTAAAGTGCAGTACTGTGTTTATGCTGGATGTTAATCTATCAGGTTCTGGATCTATTAGTTATATTTTGCCAACTCCCAGAAAAATATGGGGTAATACATGCAGAAGGAACATGATGCTGCTTATTCTGCAGCAAACTTGTTTTTTGAGTGACCTCACTAGTTTACTAAGTTGAACACTTTTTCTCTTTGTGCATTATAAACTAAATATACTTGAGGATGTATTCCAAAGTAACGTGCCCCACCACCTTCCATGGGATCTCTTGTAGGAGCAGGTTTGTTCATGCTCAGAGGGAGAGGCTGTTGTTTTGTATTTTAAATAATTAGTTTACAGATAAGCTAGACTGGAGACTGTTGCTGTCAAATACAGAGTTGTTTATTATTTTTTCATAATATTTTCAGGGTTATTAAGTGTTCTTGAAACTCTTCACAAACCTTAATGGACCTTAATCTGTGATGAGAAATAAGATTATGTGGGGAAATTAGGGTTTGTCCTGTACCACACTGTAACAAGGATAAGGGCTTGGGATAAGTATTTCTGTGATTTTTCTTCTCAGCAGGTGGTACTCTTTTTATGGAGTAGTGTTTAGTATCTACTGCATCTATTGTCTCTCTTAATTATTTTTTTTTAGTATTGTTACAAATCAGATTTTAAGCAGTTACTTGAGCACTCAGGAAACCCTGTTTGAAAGTTAAAGGTTTGAAACTTGAGTAAAAACTAAACTGTAGTTTCATAGGACTGCACAGTAGATGACGGTTTCCTGGTATTAACCTATATTTGTCTTTATGCTAAACTTTTTTTTTGTTTTAAGAGGAAATATATGCAAATGGATTAGAAATGTTACCTTTTTTTCAAACAAGCTGATTTGGATATAAAGAAAAAGAAATACAGAGCCGTAATTTACCACTGTATTCTTTCAACTTTGATGGGAGTAATCTAACTACTAGCTGGCTACATGAAACCCTTTTTTACGGTCTTCCTAACTGTTTGTCCTCCCTTAGCCATGTAAGATGGGGCAGGGTCACAGCCTTAATTTCTTCTTTGGCAAGCACGGTGTGGTTTGGGTTTTTTTGAGTGGTAGATTAGAAGCTACTGATAGTAGTGGGCAATGAATAATAACCTTACACTTTTCTTTTCTGCATGTGTACTTTCTTCAAAATTCAAACTCTCAATATAACCTTCTTTTAGTGGTTATCCTAAATGATTTACTAGTATGTTTGGTGGTGTATAGCTTTTTTTAAGTGTTTTAGCTGCGAAACTGTTGTTTCTAAAGTTTATTTGCCAGATGTAATTATATGGCAAATGCCACTCAGAGTCCAGTTTAAAGGAATGTGCAAATTTTGCTGTCTTTTTATTGAATACTGCATGGACCTCCATTCTCAACAGTAATGTTCACACATGAGCTTCGAGATCTCTTCTTGATAATGCTGCACTGTGCATAGAAGCAATATCCTTTCAGGCCATCATTTCTTCCCTCATGGTTGTAACTTGAGTTCAGAATGTCTGAATGTATATAGGCTCAGATGGAGACGTTTGACTCTTAAGACAGTGTACTTTGACCAAAAAGCCCATATTATTAGAGGAAGAAAGGTTTGTCAGGATTTCAGTTAGCCTGTAGGCTGCAGTTTGGATCACGCTTAGTATTTTTCCTTCAGTTCATAATATTCAGACTAGGTGCAGGTAGCTGACTACTTTTCATCATGACACTCTGCCACGTATTCTGCTCATTACTAGGCAGGTTGCTCAGCCCCAGTGGAGTGCAGATATAAAGCTTCGGTGAGTAACGTGTTCTTAGTTGCATGCTTAGGTTGCAATATTCATATACTTGGCAAATAAGGCATTTTGACTTCAATGTTTTGCAAATTTATCCTGTAAAGTTTACAAATACAAAGGGACTTTAGTACTCTGTAGTCTCCAACCCACAGAAGTTCAGGCAGTGATTTGTGACCGATGTAGGTGTCAGATAAAAGCGGGGAAGAGTTGAGAGTTTTTTTTAAACTTCTTTTTTTTTTTTTTGAGAACTCTTGTTGGTTTATTGAAAATAATGTGTAAGATGGAAAGCAAATGGAGCTGAAAAAATACTTAAAAGAAAGACTTAAGTACTCTCCTGTAGTTGTAAACAGTGGAAAAGGTAAATGACCAAGATTTGTGCTGCTGTATGAAGTCTGTGTTGATTTTTGTTGCAGTGAGGAGGACATGTATCGTGATGCAGAAGAAATAGAGAGAGAGAAAATACTACTTTGTGAGACAAGCTCTTCAGGTACATTCAGATTTTGTTTGGCATTTTAAATACAGTATGACAATTCATTATAGAACTGGTTTTTTGTTTGTGATGATTTGACATCTCCTTTTCCAGGGACTTCTGTGTACAGATGTCTCTGTGTGCAATAGAAGTTAATCATGACTGAGTACATTGTGCAGTTTAATTCACAAAAAGATCAATTTTACCTAGAGCTAGTTGCTTTTAATATACTTTTTTTCCCCTATGTTTCTGTAATTCCTTTACAAGAGAATGTGAATCCTTTGGAAAGCAGTCATATAATTTGTGTTATGAGTGTGGTGCTCTCAATCTCTAATTGAGAATTAATGATTTGTAGTCATCATAGCAGCATCTGTTACTAGGATCCCTTGATAAACTTAGTGTTATCTGTTTTGAAATGAAGGCTGTTAGGATTCTAACAGAAAACTGTTTCTTTCTACCACTGTTTCTGGCTTATTCAGAAAGATTTATTATCTTTCTCCCCTACAATGTGGCTGCTGAAAGATGGGAAACTTGTCAAATATTTTTCTGATTGCTAAGAAAATGAAGAGTACTTTACTAATTTCTACTCTTTGTCAATTAATATTTTCTAGAAGAGAGGAGCAGAGTGTTCTTTATTTTGTTGTACTACATTATTATTTTTGTTCACTCATCATTTTCAGAGCAAGCTGGGTTTTTTTTCCCCCTTTCAATACCAGTAATTCCTTAGTAGGTATAGGTTGTGCTGCCAGTCTTGTTTGGCACGAATATTACTTTAAAGTGATAGAGTATATTTAGAAATTCAGTGCTTTCTCTATGTTGTTCTGTTTCAACAGTTCTCCTTATAATGTTACATACTCTATTCTGACAGAACATAAACTGAGTGTTGCACCGGAAATAGACATCATGGAGTATTGCAGAAAAGAATGGAGAGGAAATACACCAGTAGCAAAAAGGATGAGAAAGGTATCAGTTCTCTTTTTGTTTAATTTTGTTGGGCTTTTTTTTTTTCATTTGTATGTTTAGTAGGTGATTTCCTATGGGGACAGTCTTTAAAATAGGAAATGCAATAGCTGTGTGGTCCAATTCTGGTCTTAGAAGTGACTGACAACTAGAAGATGGTTTTGTCTGTACTCATTCAAAATGTGTTTTTAGTAAGGCTACTTTTTGGTAGTGCAGGGCTTTGATTAATACTGTTCTTCATTACTGTTTTCAATTGAAAATTTAAATTTGGTTTATTACCATAAATTGGTAATTTTGTGGGCTGTTGAAATGGCAGAGCAGATAACCAAACTTTTTGACAGAAGGCAAATAACTAAAGTTGGTGAATGGCATGATTTTTAAGATGGGGAGTTTGAGTGAGTAAGTTCAGTTGTTCTTAAACGCTTCCTCAGGTCTTATTTTTTGAAGGTTTTGGACTAGTTTTCTCATGTTAATCTTGAGCTAGAATAGTAGAAAATAAAGCATAAGGTTGGTCAGGTGTTTTTTGTTGGTTTGTTTTTTTCAACATGTTTGAAAGTTTAGTGGTATGTATCAGTAAACGTAAAAAAATACTTCCTGTAAATCAAAAGATCCATGTGTCACCTTCAAGAGACTAGTAAGAGCAATACATATGTACAGGACATTGGCTCTTGCTAGGTTAGCTGAGGAGACATACTGAGCTTCAGAAGTTCAACATTGCTGCTTCTCCTAAAAGTGTATGTATGGGAACAGCAGGGAGGGGGCTCTGTGCTGGGGCATGTGTCAAGATATTTCACTGTAAACACAAATTTTTCCTGAGGCACAAACAAACTACATGTGACACATATTGGGTAAATGGAATAAGCTATTGCTGAAACTTCTTGTAAGCATGATGTATTTTTAGATTTATAGTCTTGTGTGTGTATGTTTGTATGTTTAGAAATTTTTTTTTTTTTGAAACTTAAGTAGGTTAGCTACCGATATTTCAATCATATTTCTGTACTGTCATCAGATAAATGCCACAACCAATTATCTACTTAGATTTCCTCGGTTTCTTGTTTGTTATTCAGCAGAACTAAGGAAGTTTTTGTCAAAGCATAATTTATAACAAAAGCATTTGAACTTCCAAAATGAGTAGTGGATCAACCCCCTTTTTTTTTTTTAAATAGCATTAGCTTTTTAAATTGGATGCTGATATTCCAGTATCTTTTATGATACTAGTGCATGACCTTAAAATATTTATTAATGCTTTCATATTATTTGGAATTTTATTTTTTTTTTCTAGGGATACGAAGCAGTTGCTCAGAAGTTTGCATCTATAAGGAGAGTACGAGGTGACAACTACTGTGCTCTCAGAGCAACTCTTTTCCAGGCACTAAGCCAAGCTACACAGTTACCAGGCTGGCTACAGAGTGAGGATTTTACTATGGTATGTGTCAAACTCTGATCTTCTGACAGTAGAGGATGTTGGTTATAACCTGCTTGATAATTTTATGATCTTATTTCTCTGTTATGCTATATGTGCTCACTTCTCAATATCCCTTGAATTGAGAAGTGGTAAGTGTTCAGTTTTGTACTTTTACACTGATTTTTTTTCAACTAGGGATTGAATCCAAGTCCCTTTAGTTTCCAGTTTACAATGTATAAATGTTACCACAGTACTGACTCTAATGTAACTTGTCTGTCTTCACTGTGCCCTCTTGGTTTCTTCTTACATCAGGTAATATGGCAGTAAGAGGTTTTCCACAAGACAGCTGGTAATAACAAAAATTATAGACAAAAATCAAAGCAGAGGGCATGTAAGAGATATGTGTGGTGACAACTAACAGGACAATTAACAAAGGGGTTTCAAATTTAAAACAGTGTTTACATGCATATTTCTAGTTGTAGAAGTTAACTGGCATATAATCTTTGATTTAGTTTTATATGTCCAGTTAACATAGAATGCCAGGCTGGGGTGTGGGAAGGTCTGTCTATACCTGACAAATACTTGGTTGCCATAAAGAGAACATGTTATTAATTTGGAGTCCTGATAAAATTAAAACTGACTGATAATGGCTGTTGGCATATGTGCTGCTCTAGCCAAATAACTCATTGTGAGACAGAAGTTGCTCCTGCAGTTCTAGAGATAAAATGGGTTAATAAACAAAGGACATCTTGGCAGTTGCTTGCCCAGTTTCTTACACTCAAGAGAAGTGTAAAACCTCCTAACTGAGCAGGTGTAGCATGTAGGCAGTAAAAGAGGCAGTTCTGAGTCTACAGTATGATCTGATGCATCAACTAACCCCTAGGTTGTTTTCTTCTTTATAAGAAAACCTGCCCCGTAGTGTTTTAGTTATGTTCCCTGAAAAGAAGACAGTTTGTGTGTTCTGGACAACGTAGTTTGCACTCCATCAAGACTTCTGGATTATCTCCTGGATGTCATTATACCTTTCACATTGTCTTCTGATGGTTCAGGGATACTTTCTAATGCAGTCATTGTCATCTGCTGCTGGAGGGTTTTTTAATTTAAAAAAAAAAAAAAAGCCATGAGTAACTTGGTGTAATTAATTTTTCCAGTACTTATGTAGTGGTTAAATCTGGAAATAGTGATAGACCAGTATTCTGTCTATTATCCAGCAAGTATTATAAAGAGCCAGTTGTGTTCAGTTATGGTCATCTATCTTACAAAAAAAAAAAAAAAAAAAAAAGTACAAGTTGGTGATGGCTTTTCCTTTCAAGACTTTTGACTTAAGCTGCCTTCTTTCAACTTCCAGCTCCCTGAAAACTTGCTGAGCAAGTATGACTGGATCAAGCAGTGGCAGCTAAAACAGAAACTGGGCAGGAAGATGGGAGAAATAAGTGATGAAATTAAAGAATATTTAATACTTCTGAGGAAAAAGGTTGGGAAAGTACTTGTTTATTCTTGGTCACTTGCAAATAAGAACACTAACAGAATTTTTTGCATGTGGTGAATTTAGCATAAGGATGATTTCACTAGTGAAAGTCACTTTTCTGTATGTATATGGCAAAAAATCCAGGAAAGAATATCTGTTCAGATCTGTGGGAGTTTTCTGGTCTTTCTCTGCTTGCATTAGCCTGATGCTAATTTGTAAGCAGCTCTGCAGAAAAATAATTAGGTTTCAATAAAGAAATTAATGTAACAGAGTAACAGTTTGCCTCTATTTTTTGTATTTATTTGAACGAATGTTGTATACTATGGATTAATGCTGTTGCTATGTTTATGGAAAGAAAAAAAAAACACAACAGAATAATGCTGAAGTAATTAAAAAGGAGTAGTTTTTCTTTCATGTTTATATGTTCTTGTTCTAGGTTAATGTAGCAGGAAAATGACTGCCATTTCAGTGTTCGTACTATATTACCTAACCTCATCCTTTGCCTGCTTTAAACTCTGGAACGTATTTAAAAACTCTTCTCTTGTTCCTGTCTTACTGTGTATGCATATTCTCTTTTATTGAAGGCTTTTATGAATATTTTAAAGGCTACATTGAAGCAGTTTGAGGGCTGGAATGAAATACGCATTCTGAGTTAACTGGAATGTAAAGAATATGAAGGATATAAAATTAATGATACAGGAAACAAAAAGGTTATTACCTTATTGCTTATTGTCCCGTGACCACATTTGTTTTGCCACCTTGCAACAGTTTCTAGCATCCTGTTCTGTTGCTTTGCTTAAGGACTAATTTAAGCAAAATCAGACTAACTCAGCTTGACCTTGATAGGACTAAAGCTGTGGAAATATTCTTGATTGCTTTTAAAAAGGCACAAAGCCCTTTATAAACTAAATTCTGAGTGTCTGTGCTGAATATCTGACAATTCACAAGTAGCTTTTTGCTGCACTTGCAAGGCTATTGATATGTGTTGCATGTGGGTTTTTTTATAGTGGAAGAATATAAGTGAAATCAAGCGTCCTGTTGAGAAACAAGAAGCTTGTGATAAATTGTTTAAAAATGAAGAGGAGGAGTATAGTCTCTATGAAGCACTTAAGTTTTTGATGCTTAACACCGCCATTGAATTATACAATGATGATAAAAATGGAAGGAGAGTTCCTGTCTTCTCATGGTTACTGTTTGCACGGGATACATCTAGCAACCCTCGTCAGTTAATGCATAATCACTTGAATCATATTGGTCACAGTGGAGGCCTTGAACAAGTAAGGAGAGATTGTTCTTATAGTGTTATTTTCCTGTTTTGCAGATTTTGGTTTTATGTGGTTTAAGAAATCACCCAGCTTTTGTTGGTCTGGCTAAACTTAATGGTATAGTGTCTGGTCTCATTAGGAAAAATGTAGTAGAGCCGCTTGCTCGTAGTAAGAGTCTGTAAAGGCCTTCCTTTCAAACATTGATTTTTGTCTGGTGGCTGACACTTAGGTAGCATCCTTTGGAAGTATGGTATTCTATTAATGGTAACATTACTGTTAGTCTCCTAATTATTAGGGTTGGTTTTTTTTTAAATATCAATATAAAAGCTAATACTCAAATTAGGAAGAGAAGATCCTGTGTAGTGCATATACTTGGTGAATTCTGATAAACTAATGTCAGTTACTGCCTTATACATTGCAGAACTGGTATGCATATTACAGAAAAAGCCCCAAACCAAAATGTGGTGGTGAATGAGCTGAGTAGTCTGAAATATTTTAGAAACATCCACTTAAAAACCCCCCTACTGAATATGTTACAAATGTGGTACTGCAGTTAAATTCAGTACTTAATTGTAGACACTAGAATCATGGAAGTATTATGTTTTGTTTCTGTATATTGGCTTGAAAATCTGATGGCTGTAGTATAGATGAGGTAGGTTGCTATTACTGTTAAATTAGCTGATTCATTGGTGACTTTTTTGCTGCCCAGTTTAGTCAATGTTATGTCACTTATTTTTGTTCTGACTAGATTTATTTATTTTAGTTATATTCTTTGTAAATTATTATTTAAAACAGGATATGCTTGCTGCTGTAGTAGACAAGATAGAAGATTCTTCTGCTTCTTTCTCTGAATTCCTTCTGATATCAACAGGCTTTATAAGTCCTTTCCATGTACTTCGCTAGAGAGTTCAGAGTGCCTTCTAAGAGAGAAAGGATCATTGCCTGAAACCTGTTCTTGTCTGGCTTAGTGATTTAACAGGATGAATACTGATACAGGAGAATGTCTTTCCTACCTGATTGTGGCAGTAGGGAAATGAGGTTCTCTGTATAAAGCAGCTATTGTTTTTTTTAGGACTAATATCCTACTATGCCACTGTTGGGTCTGAAGAGCTTCATGTTAAGAGGCATTGTATCTTGAGGTGTATGATTGAGATACTGAACCAGAGATGCTTGTGTATATGCATTCTTCACATTTTTTTTCTTTGAAAAAATAAATCTGATAGGTATTAGTTCAGTGTTTTAATGAGAAAAATCTTTTAAAAGGTATGTTTAATTTTACACATCATATTTCTGCTTTTTTTCCAATGTAGGTGGAAATGTTTCTCCTTGCTTATGCTCTGCAGTATACCATCCAAGTGTATCGACTGTATAAATACAGTACTGATGAATTCATCACACTTTATCCCAGTGACCCAGAGGAGGACTGGCCTGTGGTGACTCTCATAACTGAAGATGACAGACATTATAATATTCCAGTCAGAATGTGCCAAGAGACTATGCTGTAAACAGGTGATTTTTGGCAGACAAACCTGTGCTGCTTATTGAGGTTTCCAGGGCTATTCTGAAACAGGATGATGATGAAATATGCGTTATTAAATCTAGAACAATTTGAAATCCATGTTTTAGAAGTTTACATCTGAAATAACATATCAAATAGGTACTATCTTAAAGAGTAAAAATTTTGAAAGTATGGCTTTTGTTGCCCACAAAAAAACCCAACTTCTGCAGTCCTGTTTTTTTGAAGGGCTTACTCTGAATAGGAATGCAAAAACTGTAGATTTATTTCTTATAAGACAATAGGTGAGGCTCTGTGGTAAGACCTGAGCTGACCTTCTGCTCTCTAAAACAGTGAGATAACTATGAATTCAAATCTCTGGAAAAGTAAGCTGACGGTGTCCTGAATAATATTTGTAATACTGCTTAGAAGCAATTGTTTACAAATCTTGGGTCTCAGGAAGTAGTATCATTCTTTTGCAGTTTGGAATTTAATGCCTGCCATGGTTTATGCTATAAGACAAATGTTATTTAAAATTTTCTAATGCTTTGGGGTTTTCTTTTCTGGCATAAATATCTCTTATTTGGAAGCCAGTTGTCTGTTACACTGAAAATGAAGAGCTCTTCCCCTTTCAACCTCTTGAGAGGATCACGGCAAAGAGACTTGATAATAAGGGAGTATAAAAGTTGCTTTTTAGTAGGTCACAAATTCAAAACCTACACAGCATCCCCTCTTTTGTAATGATAGCTATATGAGAGAAAAACATGTGCCCACTAGCTTCCATATCTGTTCATGTTACTGTTCCTGTAATATTAAACCTGGCTGCTAGCTGCTTTAGAGAACATCGGGAGTTTAATTTGTCCAGGGAGTGCAGTAGGTGGAAGTAAACTTGTGGTGCAGCTTCACCACTCTTGGGAAGAGTATGTGGCAGGTTCTGTTTCTGCTTAGAATTTTTCATTATGCTTTAAGTTGAAGGAGTATAGAATATATTAGATGCTGGGAGTGCTGACATGCCTAATAAATTAATTAAATAATAAAACCATCACCTTTTAGCTTAAAGTGGAAATATGCCCTATAGATGATTCTCAGAACAAGAGAGTGAAAGTTGATTTGGATGAAATGCTGGTCATACACAGATCACTTGGCTTCTCTTAGGCCTTCTTATATAAAAGAGTTAAGATTATAAAAACTACTTTTCATGCAAATATTCTGGAGGAAATGACATGCAAAACCAAATTTTTCTATTTTGTTCTACTTAAAATTAATTTGTTAACTTTTCTTTTGTGAAGGGCAATTACTCAATGAGAATGTGGATTGACTGTTCTAAAATGTGTTTTAGACATATCTTAATGAGGTCTTGTACTCTGTTATATTTATCATGTTGTCGTTGCCTTTTGAAACAACTAGTTTGATCTGTTACTGAAAATTTCTGGGAGCTACAAGGGAATAAAAATAAACCAATTCATCTGGCAGTGTTTTGGTTTTTGTTTTATGGCCTGTTTTCTCTCTAGCTTTATACTTCTGAGTTTTTAATTTTGAAATTCTTGTTCAAGTTATTTATTGAAAGCTGTAAAACATAGTAACCTATGTAAAACAAGTAATTATTGTGTTGTTGCTTTCACATGGACAGCAAAAAAAATTTCCCTAAATTACTTTTATCCAAGTAATGCTAAAGGGGAAAGAAATAAATTTTTGCAACTCGCTCTGTAGAGCGAAATAAATTTTTGCAACTCTGATAGAGTTGTACTTACGATTTAAATAGCTGAAATTTAGATGTATAGCTAAATCTTGATGTCTTGTAATTGTGATATATTATTGAGATTACAATTCAACACCTCTTTGAAAGAGACATCTTTGTCATACATTTAGATCAGTGGCTTTTTGTACTGCTTATTGAGGTTTTTAGAGCAGTGGCTCTAAATGTATGACAGAAGCCTCTAAAGCAGGTGCTTTTCGAGGGCTGCATTTGCAGCCAGTAGGTATGTAAACAATTCACATAATTGGTTTGTATATTGAACTGAGAAGTGTAGGACTGAGCACAAGGCATGCATACACCTTAAGTCACATATTGTTCTTGCAGAAGTTGAGTAACAGTAGAAAAGCTGATGTTGCTTGGTATTTTCCAACTGTGTTTTAGAGATAAACAGTGAGTCTGTACTGTGGTGTGCAGTATATTGATTTTACTTAAATATAAAATTGACAGCTGACAGTTTTTAAAATAGACTTATACAATGGATAAATACTGCTTTTCTGTTGGGTCCCCACTCCTCCACTGAATAAACTGAAAGAGTCAATAAATTTAAATGAAGTGAAAGTGAGGGCTGGAAAAGGAAGAGGAATAGAGGTCAGATCAGTTTTGCTCCCTGCCCTGATGTCTAAGAGTCTTACATGTAAATACATTTATAATAGGTGCTGTACTTCAAGATCAGTGAACTAAAGGAAGCAGATGCTTTACTCCACACCTAGCAGACACTGTTAGGTGCAGTGCAGATTTTTAATACTGTGATCTGTGAACTCCTAGGAGTTAGTAGAGATAAAAAAAGTTCACTCTGACTGTTGTAGTTGGTGTGCTTTTTTGTACAAAAAATACTGCCTCCACTTTAGGCCCATCTTTTTTTAATCTCTATTTTAACATCATTGTTACGTCCCCTTCTGCCCCTTGTATGCTTTTTGGAGAATGAGGCGCAAGACCATTGTGTTCTTCAGAACCATTTTAGCATACTTTCAGGTATTAAATAGAAACATGCTGCTTTGACTTGGGCTATCTGCTTTTTAAAAAGCATATACACATGTATTTTTCACTAAAAACATTGCAGTCTACATGAAGCTTTTATCTTGCCTTTCTTCAATTTTCTAGTAAGAAAGATATAAAGTTAATGGATCTTTATCATCCATCTTCCTTTCTGTTGGTGGAAGCGTACAGCAGAAGTTCTTTGTGTGAAGGAACAGAGGTTCAGGTGAGCACGCTGGGCTGGGAGAAGGGGAAGAGAATTGCACTGTACTATGTGGGAATCACTGGCTGTGGGCAGAGCGATGGGCTGACCTGGCGCTGCAGCAGGTGAGGTAGCAAAGCTTAGGCTGGGTATGGCTCTGGGAGGCTTGTGCTGGAACCAGCCTCATGGCGTCCTGTGGGAGCTCAGCCCAGAACCTGTCTGTTGGGGGAGGTGCAGGTGCATTTGGTTCAGGATTGTTGAGTCTAGGCTTGACCAAATCTTGGTCAAATTTTTTTTTTCTGTGACAGTGAGAGCCCTGTCATCAAAAACTAGTGAAGGAGGGTGAAGAGTAAAGTGGGAACTTGTATCTCACTAGAATGGTGGACATGGTCATATATCCCATTTCAGGAGTCAAAGAAAGGGGGGAGAGGGAGCTCTTGCATTGTGTATCAAGTGCAGGGCTCGATTCATGATCTTGTGTCCCTAATATTTAATAGTGTCAGTTGTACAGCATCTGCATCATGTTGCCTTCTAGACATAATTGATGTTTGTTTTCCCAGTATGCTAGGTGGCAGGATAGGACCCAGAATGTTTGAAGACAGCCAAATGTGCTTTATGGATGCTCCCTTTTTTGGTAATGGTGGAAGATGACAGGCAGCATGTTCTGGAAGCTTGCCACTAGATGAATAGTTGTGCTATGACATCAACTAACATGCTTCAAGTCAGGCAGATTCAAAGACTATTTCCATTTATATATTTCTGGAAGAGGAGAACCTCAACCTCTGAGAAATGGAAAGGAAATGTTATTAATTCCACGTGGCTGAAAGTGAACTAGGGAAGGTTTAGCATGGTAGAGGCCTCTCAAGGAAAGTGACTCTCTAGCACCCTTTCCCCAGAGCACTCATTTCTGCATGGGTGCTGATGAGTTGCTCTTATTTCCATTCATGGCTTCTATTTAGGTCAATGGGATGGCATAAAACCACCCTGAGACGTACTGGGTCATTCAAGAACTAGTCAGTACTGGCTGAAAATTGTTTTATCAGGGCTGTCGGGTGAATGCTGTGGCATGCTGAGGAAGGAGCAGCACATCAAATGTGATTGCCAGCTGTCTCCTCCAGAGGATTGTTTGCCCAGTTTGCCCCTTTTTTGGAATTGTGAGGTTTGGTTGGTGTGTTTTGGGTTTGGTTTTTTGTTTTTTTTTTTTCAGACAGCTGCCCACCAAGCCTTTGACATGATACATTTCCTTTGGTCTATTGCAGTAGACAGCTGCTGCAGAGACTGTAGTAGGTAGGCTCTGCACATGCTCTTCAATGTCAAGGTTTCAGTCTGACAAAGCAAGATTTTTTTTTTTTTAAATTGAAAAACCCCCAAACATCTCATTCTGTAGAAATTGGTATGCAGACTGAATGTGGTAGGTACTTCCCCCCACCCCTTACCTTTCTAGAATCAGATAATTCTGCAAGTGTTGTGGTTTCCTGGGATGGGACAGAATTTAGACACTGTCCTCCTTAGATCCGTTGTGCACCTGCCTGTCTTTTACTTTAAAAAACCCAACAAAATCCCACAAAAACGTTGCTGTGATAATTGTCAAACTAGTATTGTCCTTCTCGAGCAGTCTTGTTGTACTTCACGGAACGTTCACCGGACTAGTCTCGGTCCTAACGTGCCTTTGCCGAGGCGCCCCGGAGCTGCAGCTCCTGTCCGGGGCGGGGCCTGGCGGCTGCCGGCAGGTGTCAGTGCAGCCC